CAAGTATTCCTTATATTGCTCTTATGTATTTTTAACAACAAAAAAGCAATATGATCCCACATACCAAAACGAAAAAAGCCCAAGGTGACCATGTCACCCCCACACATGCTATTTTTCAAAGGCTCTCTGTTGCTTGTAAGACAAAGTTTGCATTCTTTAGCAAGTCATAGTGTGACTCTCCTCTCCCTTTTGGTCTTGTGTTCTTCCCATGTGCCCTATAATCTAGCTACACCAAGTCAATTGCCATTCACCAAACATGTCATGTCTTTATCCTGAGATTTGTAGTGTTTTCCTCTGCCTGGAACACCCTTCAGAATTTGTCGGCTGAGAATTCCTCATCCTCAATTTATTCATCTGTACAACAGGAAGATAATAGTGTTTACTTCAGAGGGTTGTCATGAGGACTAATAGGAAAGAAGATCTCCCATAGTGTCTGGCATACAGAAGCACTCACCAAATGTTAGCTTGGTTATCATTGTCATTGTGGAAAGTCTTCCCTGACTTACCTAGAAGTGTTAGGCATTCCTCCTCTCTAATTCTATATGTTTAATTAATCATGTTACATCAACTTCAAAATTGACAAAATTTTCATATTTTAGCACTTATGATATTACAATACATCATACAATCTATGACACATCGAGGTTTAATTGCCAGCAATTTTTCTTTCTTAGTAATACTTGTAATAATGTTTCTTACAATGAATGGCATATTAGATGAGATACTATACTTAAACTATATGATAACTGCCACTAAAATTTTATTATTGAGGGTGAATAATGCATACTTATTTATGCATGGAAAACCCTATATTTTCTATGAGTCAGTGAAATATCAACATAAGAAAAAGGACTACTAGTTAGAACTTCATAGAAGCAAAAAAAGAAAAGAAAAAATTCCATTTGTATATCCTGCAACTTGGCCAAGCCCCACTCACTCCTGAATTACAGAGGAGTAGTCAGGTGAAGCTGCATGCTGGCATATTTTTCAGTTAAGCACCCCATCTGAGAGCCACACGATGGCCCGACCCAGAGTAAAAATGGGGAGGGGCTAGCTTATGAAACTGCATTCCCATAACCTAGGATTCACAATGGAGAAGGTAGAATAAAAAAGTGAAGAGGAGAGTGAAAGAATGAGATGAGAAAGGTCAAGGGACCATGTCTTCTAGACTGGCACTTTCCAATAGAAATATAATGTGAGCCACATATAGAATTTTAAGTTTTTGATGGCCATGCTTAAAAACTAAAAGAAACAGGTAAATTAATACTAGCATTTTATGTTTTTAACCCAATATATTTAAAATATTATAATTTTATCATATCACCAACCCAAGAATCAGAAATGAAATGTTTTATTTTTGCATCAAGTCTTCAAAATCTGCTATGTGTTTTAGCCTTACACACATCTTAAATTGGATTAGCCTCATTTTCATTGCTCAACAGCTGCATGTAGCTAGAGCCTGCCATGTGTATTGGACAGTACAATTCTACATTGATTTTGACCAACTCAATTAAGTAATGAGATAACAGTAACAGGCTGTTTCAAGAGTGGCTCTTTTCAGCACAAAATACTATACATGTTTTAAGATTCGTGCCGTATTTAGTTATATATTTTAAAATTTTTTATAGGATGGTAATTTTCCTTTAGAATCTTTTTGTGCTTTGTTTTGGCTGATTTTGTTTTAACTATGATTTGAGGTTATTCTTAATGTCCTTCCCATATCCCCTGCATTATGTTGGTTAAAGAAGAGCTGACTCCTTTATTCAATTAGATCTTTCCCCAACAAGACAGTCCTTGGGAGAATGGCAAGAAATGTATGATTCATCTCAATATTCCCAGAATTTATCGCAGTCCCTAATGGATAGCAAACTCTGAGTAATCATCTTTGAGTACACAACGAAAGGTGGATGAAGATAGACGGTAGTGGTTTTCACGCTGGGCTGCACACTGGAATCATCTAGGGGGTAAAAATGCTGAGGCCTGGCCCCACCCCTAGAGAAGTTGCTGGTAGGTCTAGAGTTTGGCTCGGATGCCAACATTTAAAAAATTTCTCCCAGGTGATTCTAGTGTGCAGCCAGGGTTGAGAACCACTTTTCTAGGGTTTTCTTAGAACATCATTCTGTGGCCATATCCTTACCTCTCTGACATAAGGCCCACTTTGCCTCAAGTCAAGTTTCCTCTCAGAACAGGCCAGATGTTTCTTGAGAAACCTAGTAGAAAAGACACTAACACAGAACCCCAAAAGGAATTTGCAAATTCCTTTTCCAAGGCACCAAAGAAGATATTCAAGGGTCTAAATCTTTTTATATTTATCTTTTTCTAACAAAAAAATAAATAAAATTCACAATTTAAGTTTTAAGATTCAAGCTGGCTTAAGGAGAAAAAAGTAAGGCCACTACAGCACATAGGCAGATAATACCCAGATACAAATATTACAGAATATTCCAGAAATTGAATAATAGCAATTAAAAATAAAAATGGAATCTAAGTACACAAGAGCCTAATTTCAAGTGAAGTCCATACATGTCAAAAGCAGAAGTTCTTAATTGGGGGTCAGCAAAGGGAAGTATTTCATGTTTTTCTTCAGCCCCTTGAGGTTATATTTGCATAGTCATAAAGCAATACATCTACTTTGATAAGTCACAAGACAAATAAGTGTTAGTATCACTGTTTGCTCTCATGGCACTTTGCCTGACAACATTACTTCCATCAATCTAAGGTTTAGCAGTGTTCCAGGGAGAGCTCTGACGTCCACTTCAGCACAAACACGCTCTCACCTGGGAGGAGGGGGAAGCGATATCTGCACTAAGGGAGCAGCGGAAATAGAGCTCCTCTGAATCATGGACTGAGTTTCCCTGCCAACCCCCAAGGTGGTCTGTCCATACTATATGGATTCACCCTGTAATGGTCTTTCTTGATGGTGTGGTATCATGTGACCTTATTAACAAACTAGAGGCCTAGTGCACAGATTCATGCATGGGTGGGGTTCAGCTGGCCAGGCCCCAATCAGGGTGGGTCGGGGCTGGGCCTGTCTGGAGGAAGAGATGGTGGGAGGTTGGCTGACCGGCCCGCCCAGATCGGGACCCAATCAGGGCCCCTGATCAGGGCCGGGCTGGTTGTAGGAAGGGGCTTCAGGCAATTGGTTAGCAGGCCCTGCCCCCAATTGGGGTTGGGGGGCTGATTGGGGGTGGGGCCAGCCATGGGGAGGGGCTGTGGGTGGTGGGGCGGCCGGCCCCGCCCCTGAATGGGGTGGGTGGGGGTGCCAATCAGGGGCCAGCGGCCTGGGGGAGGACCCATGGGTGGTTGGCCAGCTGGCCCTGCCCCTGATTGGGGTGGGGGGGCCGATCTGGGGTGGGGCTGGGTGGGGGAAGGGGCTGCAGGAGATTGGCTGGCTAGCCCCGGCCCCTATTGGGGTGGGGGGGGGCAATCAGAAGTGGGGCTGGCCCAGTGGAGGGGCTGAAGGCCAATCAGGGTGGTGGGGGCCCATCGGGGGCGTGGCTGGCTGGAGGGAGGACTGCAGGAGGTTGGCTGGACAGCCCCACCCTCTATTGGGATGGGGGTGTGATCAGGGGTGGGACAGCCAGGAGGAGGGGCTGCAGGAGGTTGGCTGCCCAGCCCTCCCCCTATTGTGGTGGGGGGGTGAGATCAGGGGCGGGCCAGCAGGGAGGAGGGGCTGCAGGCCTATTGTGGTGGGGCGGGCTGATCCGGGTTGTGGCTGGTGGGGGTGAGGGGGGCGGGATGAAGGGAGAGGGTGTTTGGCTGGCAGGCCCCACTCTTGATTGGGGTGGGAGAGTCCAATCAGGAGCAGGCTGGCAGGGGGGAGGGGCCACGAGGTTGGCCATCGGCCCCACCCCCTGATCGGGCTGGTTCACTGGCCACAGTGGGCGTCATAGTGACTGGTCATTATGGCCGTTATGGTAGCTGCCTTTTTATATATATAGATAGAAACAGCACATTGATATATCCCCAAATGTCCCTACATGCATTTCCTCTGGCTTTCTAGCAAACACAAAAGCTACCTCTAACTCTACCACACTTATTTTTTTTCCTTATTGAAATGTAATTGGCATATAACATTATATTAGTTTCAGGTGTACAACATAATGGTTCAATAAATGTATATATTGTGAAATGATCATCATAACAAGACTAGTCAATATCCATTACCACACAGTTATAATTTTTTTTTCTGGAAATGAGAACTATTAAGATCTACTCAGCAACTTTCAAATACAATAAAGTAGTATTAACTATAGTTACCATGATGTATATTACATTCCTGGGGCTTACTGGAAGTTATGCCCCACACTTATTTTTGTTTCACATCTTAAGCTGAATTTGAGAAATTAGAATAGGAAATATCCAAAATGCATTAAACTTCCACATTCACTAAAAATGATCAACAAAAATTCCCTATTCCTGCCAAAATCATGGAGGAAGAAGCACAACTCAATAAGCTTTCTAAATAAGTACTGGGTTTTGTGCCTATCACTCCCGTCTACCAACCCCAAAGGGCTGATGGGGGTCAAGTGATTGGATGTGTGACATTCACCTGGCCCCAATTTTCTTTCCTGAAAAGTAATGGAAAATTTACAATACAAGCTCCCAAATTGCTACACTCATAAAACCAGGAAGATAATCACCATCCACCTGCCCAGGCTGACTGTGAATCTGAAATGCATGACTGCATACACTTGGCATGGACATTGTTTGTCAGTTAATATGTTCTAAGAATCCTCTTGGGTTCCATGAAGAGACAAAGACAAAGTCTTCTTCCCAAAGTTTACAAAAACAAAAGTAATGTTAAAATTTACAACATGAAGACAGATTTGAAAGATGATATGAAAATTATAGGACAACTCCATATACGTTTAGTGTGTAACCACCATGGGAAGATGGACTCATGGAATCATTGAAGCTGTCGTTGGTCAGCCAGGATGCATGGGGCAGGGGACCCCAGAGAAAACTTGTGGAATGAAGGATGTTTCGGGGTTTCCTACCTTTCTGGAAGAACTCCTCTAGTTTGTCCTTGAAAGGCTGGAGGTACTGCTTTGGAGACTCCTTGCACACCACTGCCATCTGTTTCTCACTTGCTGTGAAGAGAAGTTTGGAATTAGACTTCCTAAGAACATGCTGATTTTGTGCTCTGAGCTATGCACTTGGGGATTGTGTGAAATCCTTATTGATCACTGTTTATCCAAATTCAAGGGGGTGGGGTGGGGAAGGAGCAAAAACAGTAACAACAGGAACAAAAGTAATTAGCTCACTCTACATCTTTCTTCAGGAACTGGCAAATGCATCTTCAATTTTCCTTTTAGAGATGCTGCAAAACCCCTGGCTTGGGACAGGTGAAGTGCTCTGCTTTTGGTCTCTCAAAAATAGATAAAAAAAACTACTGAAGGACTGAGGGCCCCAATCCTTTTCAGATCATACTCCAAAAGTAGAGTTTGAAATTGATTTTACAGAAGTTCTCAGGCATTCCAGTTACCTTGAACCACCAAACTGGCTATTCCTCAGGATGACACCCATATCCCAGCATGAGAACTAAATCCAGATAGGGAGAACCGCGTCTCTTTTCATGCTTCCCATTCACCTACCCTTCTCATTTACATTCTGCTAACACATGTGAAATCATTTTGTGACTTATGTCCCTAGATTCCAAATTCTTAGAGAGGAAATGATCGTTAGTGGAAATAAAAATCTGATAAATTCTTGGAATCAAGCATCCCACCATCCCCAAATGAGGACTTGGGTGGGTGTTATCCAGTATTCTGGCTTCAGGGAAATGGAATCTTGTCTTTCATAACAGATGAAGAAGAATTTTGATCTCTTTCAGGAGAAGAGATGGACAGAGAGAGAAAAGGGTAGCAAGAGAGAAGAACAATTGATTTGGACAAGGATGGCCTCTGGGGCATCTCCACTGCTTCAGCAAAGCCTCCTGACCTCACAGTGTTTGCTGTGAGTGAATGTGTGAACACCAAATGAGGGGCTTACCTTTACACTGAGTTTAGAACTAGGCAGAACAAACATACCTCACAGGGAGGCAGAGGCGCCTCCTCCTATGCATCCCTCTAATGCTCTTTCCTTCAAATCTTGTGAATAGTTTTATTTTTCTACAGAGATTGGATTTTGACATAAGTTATTCTTAGCTAATAGGCAACAGGTTGGTTTCTAGCCCTACAATGTGTGTGTATATATATATATATA